CATCAAAATACCTATTTTTACCCTAAATATTGAAAATATGGCTCTTGAAACTTCTAATATTGATGTTGATATAGGTAGGATAAAAGTGGATCTTCGCTACAAATAATTTAAAATTTAATTTCACTAATTTTAATAGCTTCATCCCTCTTTACAGATACTAGTGATCAAGAGGTCGAAGAGGAAGTTTTAAAATATGTCGGTAAAGCATGCTATAGGCGCATTACTGATATCCTCATATATATAATTCTGAGTCTTGTAGACTGAAGCATTCTTAATACAAATAACCTTATCATTAATATTCGAATTTCGGGTGATGGGCGTAACGTCGGTAAAACAATCAGCCATGTGATGATAACGTGCACAATTTTAGATGATATGTTGAACATTCATAAAGCAGATTTTCATTACACATTAATTTTATATCCGGGGGTAGAAAATTATGAAATCCTAAAAAAAGTAATGAAACCCCTTATAACTGAACTAAATAATTTGACAACGAACAGACTAGTGGACTTGTATGGTATAAAATGGAGAATTGAATTTTACTTCAGCAGTAACTGGAAATTCATGGCTATCATATTAGGATTCAATGCCCCAAATTCAAATAATTTCTGCCCTTGGTGCCTCTGCACCAAAAAAGATATTGGAAATAAGGACAAAACATATAAAATTGAGAAAACTATGGATTCATTGAAATCGGATTCACCATCGCCAGGTCACCTCAAAACTTCTCTCCTCCCTATGATCTATTTGGACCAGTATATGCCTGATGAGTTGCATATTATGTTGAGAATATGAGATCATCTTTGGGAGTTGGTAATTCAAGAAATCAAGTCAGAAAATAAATATGATAACCACATAAGAATAATAATTAGTTTAGAAATGAAAAGGATTTCCATCATGTTTTGATTTTGGCAAAACCATAATACACAAAATTGGTCACATATGCCTATAATGGGAGGCGACAAAGAAAAGGTATTGCGTGATTTCAATTTTGAAGTCATTTTTGATAAAGAATAGGCAATATTGATAAACCATTTGTGGAGGGATTTTTATTCACTTTACAGACTTATAAAAGAGCCGAATGCAGTCCCCACTCTTTTCACAGTTAAAGTAAAAGAATAGTTCAACTTATTCTTCACACTGTATCAAGGCATACCAAATACTAGAATCTTTAAAAAAGGTCTCTACTGTTCTAAAGATGTCACATCTTATATACATGTTCTGGTACACCATGTATTAGAATTTATGATGCGTTATCAGAATTTTGTATTGACTGCATTTTCCTATGCAGTGGTTGAGAAAAAAACCATGATCAGGTTTCTCTCTTTTACAAAAAGTCAATGAAAGATGGAGGCAAAGGCATGGAAAGAAAATCTGCTATTCTTAAAATACTCAATTATAAAAATCGATTATTATATTATACCTATCAATCTACTTTCAGTTCAACATCTAAACCTCAATATCTTTATGTTAAGAAGTAAGTGAAGATTTCATAACATTTTTTAATAAATGATTGTCTGATTTTTATAATTGATAAATTTTAATCATTTAAATTATTAAATGATTAATTAACATGATGATAGTGTTATAAAGTAAATCTTCAAAATATCAAGCCGGAAATCCAGCTTAATTTTAATTATTAAGAATCTTTTTTCGTTTTTTTTTTTTTTACAGTAGTTAAACAAAAAAAAAAATTGGAAATTTTAATAAATAAAAATTATAACTTTTCTGAATAAGTAATATTTAAAGCGATTGGAAAGTGTAGTTACTTCGATTCCAAAAGCTTTTATCACTAACTTTAATTTTTGAGTATATAATATTTAATGCACATTCACAGTTGAACTGAAACAAATTAAGACAGACTTTCTATCCATCTAATGTTATCTATTATTATAATCACATTAACAACTCTAATTTTAATGCGGCCAAGTATTATCCCTATCTAGGTGCCGTAAATTAAATTACTCTAATTTGTAAATATTTCAATTCGCTATTTTGTCGCCTCCCATTTGGTCTCAGCAAAATCAAACAAAAACTTGATTTTCAAGATTTTGAATCTATCAATTTACAATACTATGCTTTAATTACAAAATCTATTTTTACTCTAATCTGACTTCAAACTTCATGATCAGTTACCATGAAGCATAAAGTAAGATTAGATACCCATTAGGTTTATATATTTACTAAAAATAAAATTGTATTTAATGCCAATACTTTAAATTGATAGATTCAAAAACTTGAAATCAAGTTTTTGTTTGATATTGCTATGCACTACTCTCATAAAAGTGTATGTAACCAATTTTGTTATCATGGTTTTGCCAAAATCAAAACCCGACAGAAATCCTTTTTATTTTTAAACTAATTACCATTCTTATGTAGTCATTATATCTATATTCGGACTTGATTTCTTGAATTAACAATTCCTATAGGTTGAAATATAGTAAAGGCAAAATGATAATTATACATTCGGTGTGATATTCTAAAAACAACATACATGGAAAGTTGAAAAAACTCATCCAGGTACTTTCAAAATTTTATAAAAACTATCGATGATTCATAAAAATTGATTCCTACTGTGCTGATCATGATTGAGTAAATTGACAAATAACTGGCTTAAAGGATAATCTCTAAAGGCTTAAATTGCTACCTGGAGTCCTATTAAATTGAATTATGAATAAAAAAAGATAAATCTTTTATACTTAATTCAACTCATAAAATCACGGTTAAGGGTCACTTTGATTGGCCAGCTATCAAGATCATTCACAAGTACTACAATTATTGAAGCAATCATTATGATAATTTTGCTAAAGATTTATATTGTGAAATGCAGATATTAAATTTTAGCCAACTAGTAAAACTCTGATAAAAACACTTGACTGGCTAAACTATTTTTCACTAAATCAAAATTAAGCACTGACCTAAGTGCTTGAGTACCCTAACTTACCATTGCAAATTTTAGTCTTAAATAAAAACAAGTTTGCTTCATCTAGAGTATAGAACTTATTTTTCATTTCGTCAGCCAACATCCGTTCATATATACAATTTAAATCCATTTCAATATATAGGAATATACTCTCAAGAGCCTTATAAAAGATGTCATCTCCATAGCGCAGACTATTCTATAAACAATTAAAGTATACCATATGATTTAGAATTGTCATTTAAAAGTTGGTTTAACATATTATTTAACTATACCTTGAATCTGGAATATAGGCACAAAAAAATCACATATCTTGAATCTTTCACATGGCTTAAAATAGAATTTTGGATTTGGATACTACTATTTTTCAATGAAAAAATTAAGCCTCATTACACTTATGTATTCTCATCATTAATCGGTTTGTCCCATCCATTAGGATTGTATCCACCAAAAATTTCGTCAGTATCTTCAACTTTTACATCTACAATAACATTTGTTTGACTATTACATAAATTCCAAAATGAAGCAGAAGTAAAACCATTTCTGGTTCCATGAAGAAGTAATTCAAATTCATATAGATTGATTGTTACAGAATATGCATCTGATCTTTTATCAATCCATGAAGCAATTTTAGCCATGTGTACTTCATTGATAATTGTTGAAAATGGCTCAGCCATTCTGAATGGTAATGCTTGTTTTAAAACTATATGATGTGGAAGAATTACTGGAAATATCAGTCTGTTCAGAGGTTTTATTTTTACACAAGTAACAGTAGATATTCGAGCATCAATATCAACAAAAAAAAAAAAAATTAGAAAAAAACAATTCATTCAAACCCATATACCAATATTATTATTTATTTAATTTCTTACGACCAACTAACTAAAAAATATATATAACTCTAAACCTGTAATGTATAAAAATTTAAGTACATGTATCCAGCAGAGGTTTGGTTATTTTTTGCATCTTTCTTGTGTTTTGTTTTCCATTCAATAGTTAGTTCTGGAAATCTAGACTTTTTCTTATGATTACTTCTTTTCTCAGCTTGTGCATCGAACAGTAAGATAAACGTTTGTTGATCATTGTCAAAAAATTTACGCCCCCAATTTTGGTTATCAAATATACTAGCTAATTACATGTAAGCATCTGGTTCATGAAAAAAACACTTGTAGCTATTGTTTTTTCAATTAAAATAATGAATATAGCACTTAAAAACCTCAAAAAATAAACTTTCTAGACAGGAAAACGAAAGAGTTTGCCTTCCTGATTGTGTAAAATGTGCTTTAAGTTTACTACCTATAATAAATCAGATCCTTCTTAAATTGATTAACTGCTTCTAATGATAGCACATATAAGCCTTCATAACAAATATTATACTTTCGTACAATACTTTGGTAATGATTAAGACCTCTTTTTGTCTTATATTTTATTCCACAAATTTCACACT